CTCCTCCTCCTCCTCCTCCTCCTCCTCCTCCTCCTCCTCCTCCTCCTCCTCCTCCTCCTCCTCTTCTCAAGCACAAGCGACCCGAGACGCCTCCATAGCCGTTTGACATTTCGGCTTCTGGATTGCCTCGCCGTCGCGTCCCAACGGACCCTGCGGTGGAGCCCCCTATGGGGCCATGAAACGTGCAAGGGGTGCGCCGAAATGGAGGTGGAACTGCATGCGGACCCTGCCACTGGGGCCTTGGGCGGAGCATCCTCTGGGGCCACCGACCGTGCGAGCGGTGCGTCGGAATGGAGGTGGAACTACATGCAGACCCTGCCACTGGGACCTTCGGTGCTTGCAACTACTGGAGCTGGCGGCTTTGGCGTCCTACTCCAGTCGACCAAGATTGGGACGAACGGTTCGTAACACGTGTGAGTCAGGGTGACTTTCCTCAGCAGCTGGTGCTGGCTAGGCCCTGGCTCCTTCCTGCACTCCGAGGGCGGCGTCCGTCACAGGCGGCGGTTCCGGCGGGCTGTGCCCCAACGCAACCCTCCACACCAGGGCGTACTTCAACTTTCTGGCTGCAGTGGACCAATTTGTGCCATTATCTGGGTTGTTTCCCCCCTGCATTTCATGGGCGGCGTCCGTTCAAGGCACGCGGAGGTTCCGGCGGGCTGTGCCCGACAAAAGACCCTCCTTGGAGCTGCAACTCTGGAGCTGCAGCTGGTGGCGAAGCCAGTCTTTTGTCATCGATTCCATATGTTTGGCCACTTCGCGCTTTGTTCACTGCCGTTAAGTATTTCAAGTTGTCCTTTCGCTGTCGCTCCGTGTGGCACGTGTGGAGGCGCACCACGCATACTGGTCATTGTGCAGGCGCCGGACTTCAGATTCCCGACGCGGCCTGGCGCGGCCGGCTGCTGTGAAGCTACTTAGCGCCTTTGGTGCGTGGATTGTGGCTCGACAGTGAGGTTCGGGTGGATCCTGTCTGACCGTTCGCCCAGCCGCTGGTTCCAGCGGTGTCCGGAGTTATGACTCGTTTCCTCGGGTCGGCCTGCGCTCTCCACGGGAAAGCTCCGTGCGCAGCGAAAGTGATTCCGATTTGATACAATTGTGTGTCCAAAGTGCGCTTTGCCATTGAATCGTTTGCAAATTTTATCGTCGCACATAGTGCTGGAACGATGTGTTTGTTCTCTCCTCCCGCCGATCACGGAGCCATTCTTCACATTTATAGGCGCTGTCTCGTCATTAGCTCCTAGCGATAAATTTGGGCCAGCTGTATGGGACCTTCGGCATGTGTCGCCTTCGATCAAGGAAACTGGCATGACGGTGAAAGCCAAGGGTGCAGGGCGGGCGGGTCGTGAAGTTTGACTACGTGGTGCATGGTTTCCTGTTCTGAGCGCGGGGGCACCGACATCATACGGCGGGCAAGTTTTGGCACATTGCAAGGGATATCTCACGGGATTAAAACGGGCTTCATATCCCAGGATCCTGAGGCAGGCTGGCTCCGTCCTGGCGTTCGAGAGTATGCTATGAGTTCGATGGCTTCGCTAGGATCACACTCGTGATGGCGTCTACTCCACTCAACTCCATTCCTCCTCCTCTTCCTCCTCCTCATTGTCCTCCTCCTTTTCCTCCTCCTCCTCCTCCTCCTCCTCCTTCTCCTCCTCCTACGTCTCAATGAAATATACCTCCCCCTCCTCCTCCTCCTCCTCCTCCTCCTCCTCCTCCTCCTCCTCCTCCTCCTCCTCCTCCTCCTCCTCGTCCTCCCCCAGCTCCTCCTCCTCTTCTTCCGCCTCCTCCTCCTCCTCCTCCTCCTCCTCCTCATCATCATCATCATCATCATCAGCAGCAGCATCATCACCATCATCATCATCATCATCGTCACCGTCATCGTCATCATCGTCATCGTCATCATCATCATCATCATCATCATCATCATCATCATCATCATCATCATCATCATCGTCATCGTCATCGTCATCATCATCATCATCATCATCATCATCATCATCATCATCATCATCATCATCATCATCATCACCATCATCATCATCATCATCATCATCATCATCATCATCATCAGCATCATCATCATCATCATCATCATCATCATCATCATCATCATCATCATTATCATCATCATCCTTGTCCTCCTCCTCCCCTTCCTTCCCTCCCTCACTCCCGCCCTCCTCCTCCTCCTCTTCATCATCCTCCATCTTTCCCTTTCACCCTCTGAAAGGTGTCCACGGATCGGTCGCGATCGGCTGGTGTGTACGTGTTGTTGCCACGTCACTGCGCCATTGAGGCTCACGCTGTGGGCTCAGTCGGCACTCGGTTGCGCTGTCGCCGTAGACCGCCTTGGCCCTCCTCCCCCTCCTACTCCTCATCCTCACCCTCATCCTCCCCCCCCTCTCTTCCTCCACCCAGTCAGCCTAGTCAGTATCAGCACAAGCGTTCTGCACACCTCGTGCATCCGAGATGCGGCCTGCCAGGGCCCTCCTCTTTGACGCCGCCCCCAGCCGCCCGTGGACTGCGTCTGCCAGTGGCTCTCGCCGATCGGCGCGCAGCACCCGTCGACGACCTGCCGGGGCTGCGCGGAACCGGGGCGGTTCTTCAGAGGAGAATGGGACGCACAAAGACATACTAACACCATACGTCTTCCTTGGAGGCGCGCGCCCGACCCGAACATATAGTATATCCCCATCTTGTAGTAGATCGTTTCCCGAGCGGTGTGGCCAGAAAGCGCCCGCCACGACCGCATATACTACAGGATTTCTCGGTGCGCGCGTCGCCCCTGGGGGGGCGACGCACACACAGTATGAGTATGTTGGAGGGACGCCGAGAGAAGGTAATCGGAAGGCGACCTTCCCTACTCCAGCCAACGATGCGGCAGCTGCAAGGCGAATCGCCAGGTCGCCCGGCACACCAGAAGCGCCTCGTGAAGCGAGCTGCGATATCGGCAGGCTCTTCGTGGAACGGGGGGCGAGGAGAGGGCTGCAGATGGCGGGTTCCCGAGAGACAGAACCGTGACAACCAAACAAACAAGCAAGCAAACAACAAATTCTCTTGGGAACGACTTGCCCTACTTCGGTCAGCTTCCGCCGGCTGGCCCGCCGCCCTGGTTTCACATGCTTCCGCTGGCTTCCGCCAGCCCTCCGCCGAGGACGAGATGCCAGACCCTCCATCCATCGAGGGCGGGGCCCTCTCTGGAGCCCGCCAGAGAGAGGCCAGACTGCAAGAAGGCACATGGGCAGGCCTGCCGATGGGGGCACGCAGGCCCATCCAGTGAACTCTGCACGAAAAGGATCGTGCGACGGCCCCTCCAGAAGGAGCCCGTGGGATCCCCGGCCGCTGTTGTCCTGAGCCACTCGGAGGAACAGCCCTCCACATTGGTGGAAAGATGGGCAAGATGTCTCCCGTCCCCTCGCGCTGAACGCACCGCAATCCTCTTCCTCCTCCTCTTCCTCCTCCTCCTCCTCCTCCTCCTCCTCCTCCTCCTCCACCTCCTCCTCCTCCTCCTCCTCCCTCCTCTTTCTCGTCCTCCTCCTTCTCCTCCTCGTCCTCGTCCTCGTCCTCGTCCTCCTCCTCCTCCTCCTCCTCCTCCTCCTCCTCCTCCTCCTCCTCCTCCTCCTCCTCCTCCTCCTCCTCCTCTTCCTCTTATTATTATTAGTAGTATTGTTAATACTATTATTAGTATCATTAGTAGTACCAGTATTATTAGTATTATTAGTATTAGTCGTATTAGTATTATTATAACCATCAGCAGAATTAACATTATCCTTATTAATATAATTATAATCATTATGGTTATCTATTGATACTATTATTAGCATTCGCATTAGTATAACTAATATTCTTATTTCTTAGTTGTAATATTACTAGTATTAATATTATCATTAGTATTAGTAATAGTATTACTAGTAGTGTTGTATTGTAAGTATTAGTTTATAATTGTTAGTATTAGTTATATTATTATCAACAGTATTATTAGTAGTAGTAGTAGTAGCAGTAGTAGTAGTAGTAGTCGTAGTAGTAGTAGTAGTAGTAGTAGTGTTATTAGTATTAGTACTAGTATTAGTATTACTATTAGTATTAGTCTTAGCCTTAGTCTTAGTCTTAGTCATAGTCTTAGTCTTAGTCTTAGTATTAGTCTTAGTATTAGGATTAGTATTAGTATTATTAGTGTCAGTGTTAGTATTAGTATTAGTATTAGTATGAGTATTAGTATTAGTATTAGTATTAGTATTAGTATTGGTATTAGTATTAGTATTAGTATTAGTATTAGTATTAGTATTAGTATTAGTATTAGAATTAGAATTAGTATTAGTATTAGTATTAGTATTAGTATTAGTATTAGTATTAGTATTAGTATTAGTATTAGTATTAGTATTAGTATTAGTATTAGTAGTAGTATTAGTTAGTATCAGTATTAGTATTAGTATTAGTATTAGTATTAGTATAGTATTAGTATTAGTATTAGTATATTAGTATTAGTATTAATATTAGTATTAGTATATTAGTATTAGTATTAGTATTAGTATTAGTATTAGTATTGGTATTAGTATTAGTATTAGTATTAGTATTAGTATTAGTATTAGTATTAGTATTAGTATTAGTATTAGTATTAGTATTAGTATTAGTTCTAGTGTTAGTCGTAATCTTCGTATTAGTATTAGTATTAGCATTAGTAGTAGTAGTAGTAGTATTAGTATTCGTATTAGTATTAGTACTAGTACTAGTATTAGTACTAGGATTAGTACCAGTATTAGTATCAGTATTAGTATTAGTATTAGTATTTGTAGTAGTACTATTAATGTTATTAATATTGGTAATAATGTTAGTGATATTGTTATTACTAGTATTGTTATTAGTAGTACTCTCATTACTATTATGAGAGGTAGTGTTACTAATAATATGTTTCTTGTGTATAATACAGATATTACTACCAGTGTTATTATTATGATTAATACTACTATTAATATTCTGAGCATACGTATTAGTATTAGTATTAGTAGTAGTATTACCATTACTGTTACTATTATTAGTGGTTGGGCAATACTAGTATCAGTCGTATTGCTGGTGTGATCCTGATCATTATTATTAATATTAGTAGTATTGGTATGCCCCTTCGTATTCTTATTATTATGAGTAGTAGTCTCAACATTGTTCTTCTTATAAGTCGTAATACTATGTTTTATATCCGTAATCTTCCTAGTAATCGAATTATGCTTACTTGTATTTTATTCATATTAGTAGTAGTAATAATACTAGTATTTCAATACTCATATTAGTATTAGTGGTCGTAGTAGCAGTAGTATGGTTATGATTATTCATGTTAACAGTAGTAGTAATATTATTAGCAATATTAGTACTATGAGTAACAATACGATTACTAGTAGTAGTACTACTTCTATTATTATTATTAGTAGTAGTAGTAGTAGTAGTAGTACTACTAGTCGTATTAATCCTCTTCTTCCTCCTCCTCCACCTCCTCCACCTTCTCCTCCTCATCCTCCTCCTCCTCCTTCTCCTCCTCCTCCCCCTCTTTCTCGTCCTCCTCGGGCTCGTCCTCCTCCTCCTCCTCCTTCTCCTCCTCCTCCTCCTCCTCCTCCGCCTCCTCCTCCTCCTCTTCCTCCTCTTCCTCCTCCTCCTCCTCCTCCTCCTCCTCCTCCTCCTCCTTCTCCTCGCGCAGGGTCACTCGAGACTGATCGACTTCCGATATCCACAGCGAAGGTCTGTCGAAACTGCCCCCGTTCATGCCGCCCCTGCCCTTCAGCATTGAACAGCGACGCTGGCGCCGCCGCCGCGTCGACGCGGCGCGCCTGTGCCGTACAGTCAGAGGCTTGGCTACAAGGAGCTTCGTGGCGAGGAACGGGGCCCCTTTGGGAGCCCGCAGCTGCCGTCCAGGTGCGCGAGGAGCGCCGGGAGAAGACCCGAGGAGGGACCCAAGGAACCTCGAGCCCCTCCCGAGACCACAGAGGACCTCACCCACGAGGCCTGACTGCAGGGGCGGCGCCGCCCGCGCCGCTCGGCGCCGCCGCCGCAGCCAAGCTCGCGAGGCAGGCGCTCCAGCTCGCCCAGAGCATAGCCAGGCCCAAGACCCGTGAACCAGGGCTCAAAGTCCGGGGCAGAGTCCACAGCCGTGGCCTGTGACCTGTGGCCCTGTGCGGTCACATGCTACAGCTGACGGCTTAGACTTTTGGCCCCGCGGCTCACACAGTGAGCCATGGGAGCCGAGTTCTAATCCCAGCGACCCTCTGGGGGTTGAGCTCTCCACGCTGGCCGCATCCCTCTCGCAGGCGTCACACACACAAGGCACGCTGCCGCAGAGCAATATTTCTGTTGCCTGATGAGGGTCTGTCTTGTTGCTCCTGCCCCCCTGGCCCCCATGGCGACAGAGCGGCCGTGGTGCTCATGCTGATACATGGCGCCCACTGAGAGGACGGCAGGACCGCTAGGGCTGACAACCGCTATCTTTTAGGGAGCAACCCACCCGCTGACCACGCCGCGCTCTCGACCCCCCCAGCCCACACAACGCAAGAGTGGGGGGGGGCAGGGAGGGAGGGAGATGAAGGGAGGTGGGGGGGAGCGGGAGGAGTGCGGCAGGGGAGGAGAGGGGGGAAAAGGGGCGGAAGGGAGGAGGAGGAAGGAGGTAGGGAGGATAAGAAGGGAGCTGTGTGAGGAGAAGGGAGGAGGGGGAGGAGGAGGAGGAGGAGGACGAGGAGGAGGAGGAGGAGGAGGAAAAGGAAGAGGAGGAGGAGGAGGCGAAGGAGGAGGAGAAGGGAGGAGGAGGAGGTGGAGAGGAGAAGGAGGAAGGAGGTGGAGAAGAAGGGAAGAGAGGAGGAGGAGGAGGAGGAGGAGGTCTGAGAAGAGGAGGAGGAGGAGGAGGAGGAGGAGGAGGGAGGAGAGGAGGAGGAGGAGAGGAGGGGGAGGAGGAGGCGGAGGGAGGAGGAGAAGGGAGGAGGAGGAGGAGGAGGAGGAGGAGGAGGAGGAGGAGGAGGGGGAGGTGTCGGCCACGTCGCGGGAGCGACATTGGGCCGCATCGCAAAGGTCGCAAAGGAGGGGGAGGACGGAGGAGGAGGAGGAGGAGGAGGAGGAGGAGGTGCGGGTGGGTGCCCCACAGGCTCGCAAGTGTGCGCTCACTGAGCAGCGGCAATCCAAGGTCCAAGCCGACTTGGTTCGGTCGAGCTGGCAATCGGCCATCGGGGAGGGCACGAAGGCGTTGCGGCCCCTCGCGCAAGGCGTACCACGCCACCGCCGCTTCCACCGCCGCCACAGCCGCCGCCGCGACAGCCGCCGCCATGGAGACGATCGCCTTCCCTGCGGGTGATCCCTGCCCCGTGGGGCGCTACCCTGCGATGGGCGAGGGCTGGGAGCAAAGAGGGCCGCGCGGTGGAGACGGCGGCCCTGGGGAAAGGGCAGGGCTCATGCTGCCGCCGGGAGATGCGGTGGCGCAGGAGCTGCCAGCATGGAAACGACAAATCAGATCCGATCGGACTGTGCATCGAACCAGGACGCGTCTGAGCAAGGTCGGAATCAAATCGGACCGGACGCGCCAGGATGCACAACCGCGCCGTGCAAGCATCGGACCGCATCGGACCTGACCGCAAGAACACCGAAGTCGGATCGGGTCGAGCCCACCAAACCCGCACTGGATCGACACTGCCTCTGGAAGGCCGAAGCCGAATCGGATCGAGCCTGGCGAACTCGAGGTCGAACCGGATCGACCCTGCTGCTGGAAAGTCGACGCCGAATCGGATCGAGCCCGGCGAACTCGAAATCGGATCGGGTCGAACGGATCAGAGTGGACCCCGCGGCAGTGGGTGGCCAGGGCGGTCGCCCGATCCTCCCCCTGTCCCGCCCCCGCCCCCCGCCCTGTATCCCCCCCGGGCGACCTTGGGAGGCTCCGTGGCCACTTGGAGCCGCATTGGGGCCTCTTGGAGGCATGCCGGAGGCTATCCTGCGCCATTTTGGGCTATCGCATGCGATGCCAGAGGCCACCTTGGGCCACCCGCGGCCACCTTGGGCGCCCTCCGCCCCCCAGCCCTTCTCCTGCCCGCGCCCCTCTCTGCCCACTCCCCCTCGCCCTGCCGCCCCTGCCTGACCTCTCCTCCCTCGCCGTCGCCCTCGCCCCTCGCCCCTCGCCCTCGCCCTCGCCCTTCTCCTCTCTCGCTCGCCCCTCGCCCCTCGCCCTCGCCCCTCTCCTCCCTCGCCCCTCGCCCAGGCTGACCTCTTCTCCCCGCTCTGCCCGCCTCGCCCTCGCCCGCGCCCCCGCGGCAAGGCCTGTTGCGACGAGCACTGGGGGGAGCCGGCGAGCATCTGCTGCATGTCGGACGACGACATGCCAGCCTCCCCGCAAAGTCCCCCGAGACAGGCCTCGGAAGAAACTAGCGAACACTCCTGCCACATTCATGTGTCCATGCCCCCCCCCCAAAGATCACTGTTGGCGCTGTGGGTTGACAATCTTCTCCGCGCGTGCCAACTTTGAGTTGGGGGGGCGGGGTCGTGTCCCCTACGCGCTCGCCCACTACGGGATCCTGGCACCGCATTTTTCCCACGCGGGGCGCTTTCTCGCGGAGTCAGGTCCCTGGGCCCTCGCAGATCGGTTCGATTCGATACATGTCCCAAAAGCTGGGGCCGAGGGCTGAGATAATGATTTGCCCCGATGATCCTTTCTCCACGAGAACTATTCCGACGGTAGGACCCCACATGAGAATCCTTTCGGCGAATCTGGAAATACCCGTCATCGTCGTCCTCGCGATCGGCGAGGCGTCCTTACTGTCAGCTCTGCGTCATTCTCCTTCTCGCCCCAGCGCAGGCCCTCCTCCCGCCCCCTACGTCGCCCCCCCCATCGACCTCCCGTTTTTTTCCCCCCTCCCCGCCACCCCCTCCCCTATCTATGGCACGAGCGCGCGTCGACTTTCCTCGGCGCCGTCGCCGCCTCGGCCAGCGCGGGCGCATTCTCGACTGGCCACGTCGCGCAGCCGCTGGGGCAGCCCCGCGGGCCAGGCTGGCAGGACAACCCCGCGAGCCGCTGGGGCGCAGGAGCAAGCAGTTGAGACAACCCCGCAGGCACCGAGCTAGTCGCGGCCGCGCCGAAGCGGGAGGCAGCAAGAAGCCTAGTTCTGCCGCGAACTGCTCCGCCTCTGCCCTGGAATTCTCCGCTCTCTTATCGAAATCCCTGGGCGCCTCCCGCAGGGGCGCCGGCGGCTCGTCCTCCAGGAACTCCCAAAGGGGCGGCCGCAAAATCAGCATGTTTCGCACGCACGCGGCGCGGGAGAACATGACGTAGAGATGCAGCCAACACTGGTCGTCCGACATGCCCGCGCGGCCAGCGTCCTCGTCCCTCGCGCGATTCATGGTGACGCCCTTGAGCAGCGTCTGGCCCTGCGACAGCGTGGAGGTACGGTAGGACGCGCGCCTCAGAGTGAACCCCGAAAGGCGCGCGACGTGCGGCCGCGAGCTTCACCACGGAAGCTCCTGCTCTCTGGGCCAGAACATCAGCAAGCTCCGCGCCCGCGCCTCGGCCTGGCCGTCGGCGGCGGCGCCTTCGGCGCCCTGTTGCAGCAGCTCGGCGACCTCCTGGCAGATCGGAGACGCCTTGAAGGCGTGCACCTGCAGCCAGATTCCGTACGGCAGGAAGCGGGGCGAAAGAGCTGGCCTGCCAAGCGCTCCTGGTACCGCTGCTGCTCGTCCCCGGGCTGGAACTCGAACGACACGATGGTGGCCCGTTGCTTCTGCACGAGTCCCAACTTCTGTTTCAGCTCTTCCTGCACTGCCGTGAACCGCACCTCCATGCCGACGTCGGCCGGTCAGACGCCGTGGATGCCCCCCGTTTTGTGCATGTTCGGGACGTTCAGGAGGCGCCGACCCGCGTCGGGATCGCCATATATCGTGTTGCACTCGCCCACGGCCTACAAGAAAAAGAAGGGCACGGCCGTCGATGGGTTACTACCGGCGGCACTGGGACAAGGGGGCTCCCCCTGCCCCCGCTTTGCCCGAGGATGGGTTACCACCCCCGACCCGGACGCAAGGGTCTCCCCCTGCGCCCGATTCGGCCGGTCACCACCAGCGGCCCAAAGACAATGGGTTACTCCTGCCCCCAATTCGGCCGAGGATGGGTTATCACCCCTGGCCCGAACGCAGAGGGCTACCCCTGCGCCCGATTCGGCCGCCGATAGGTTACCACCGGCGGCCAGGAGACAAGGGGTTACACATGCCCCCGTTCGGCCGAAAATGGGATAACACCCCCAGCCTGGACGCAAGAAGTTACCCCTGCGCTCGGCCGCCGTCTCGTCGTCGTCGTCGTCAGCTCCTCAGTCGCCCTTGTGTCCTACGCCAGTGCGGAATCGCGGGAATCCCCAATTTCGGGCACGCGGGCCCATGACAGTAACAAGTTCGCCGACGACCAGCTCGGCAAGCAACGCTCCGATTACCAACGACCGCCTGAGACTCGCGCCACATGCAAGCCTCACGATCCCAAACATGACGACAATTACAAGTTTCCAATGGCCCGCTCCGATTAATAACATGAGACGCGGGCCCCATAGGGAGGGGGATCCAGCCTGAGACTTCCTCGCAATTCACTCACAGACAAAGCTCCCGCCTGATACTTCCTCCAAGTTCAGGCAGCAGGAGCCCAAAAGTGGCGACAGCTACAAGTTTCCAATGACCCACTTGGATTAATCACATGATCTGCGGGCCCCATAGGGAGGGGGCTCCCGCCTAAGACTTCCTAGCAAGTCACTTACAGACGAGGCTCCCGCCTGATACTTCCCACATGTTCAAGCTTCAGGAGCCTAAAAGTGACGGCCGTTACAAGTTTCCGATGACCCGCTCGGATTGATAACATGATCTGCGGGCCGCACAGGGAGAGGGCTCCCGTCTGAGACTTCCTCGCAAATCGCTCACAGACAAACCTCCCGCCTGATACTTCCCCCATATTCAAGCCTCAGGAGCCCAAAAATGACGACAGATACAAGTTTCCGATGACCTGCTCAGATGAATCACATGATCTGCGGGTCTCCTAGGGAGGGGGCTCCCGCTTGAGACGTCTTCGCAATTCACTCACAGACGAGGCTCCCGCCTTAGACTTCCTCAAGGTAAATGTGTGTGAGAGTGTGATGGCGATGATGATGATGATGATGATGATGATGATGATGATGATGATGATGATGATGACGATGATGATGATGATGATGATGATGATGATGATGATGATGATCATGATGATGATGATGATGGTGATGATGATGATGTTGATGATGATGATGACGATGACGATGATGCTGCTGCTGATGATGATGATGTTGATGATGTTGATGATGATGATGATGATGATGATGATGATGAGTGAGTATGTGAGTGTGCGAGTATGTGGGTGACGAAGAGAAGGGGTGGTGGTGATGATAATGATGACGATGATGATGACGATGATGATGATGAGTATGAGTACGATGATGATGCTGATGAAGACAACTATGATGATGATGGTGATGATGATGGTGATGATGATGATGATGATGATGATGATGATGGTGGTTCCTGCGCGTGGTGTCCAGAGAAAACGAGAACCCCACTTAGGATGTGGGAACAACCAGGGAAAGCAGATCGAGAAAGCCGCTGCCCCTCAGAGGGGCTAGCACATACGCGCGACACGCGAAGAAGCGAGCACAATGAGACACGAGCATTGCATGTCCTAGCAAAAACATCGCATCGTGATGAGAAGAACTCAGTGGCGGTCCGTGACTGCTCTCGGTGCTGCGCTGTTTCGCGACGTCTGATCTCGTAGTGGTCACCAGAAGGCGGTGGGCCGTGGAGCAGCCCGCGCGCCACCCGCACATGCGGTCACGACCCTCCCCCCAGCCAGCAAGGCTGTTGTTATATTTGCTCGCGCTCGTTCCTTCATCTGTTGGGGGTTACTGAGGACGAGGAAAGGGAGGCAAGGCGTTCAAAAAGGGAGGAAGAGGCTGGGCAGAAGGAGGAGGAGGAGGAGGAAGAGCGTCGGCGTCCAGACGCGGGAGCTTTGCCGCTCGCTCCCCCACGCACCCCGCCCGCCAGCCAGCTAGCCCAGCTGGTCGAGCAATCTGCTACAGATGGCCCAGGATGCCCCCCTCCCCCCGACGCCGTGTTCAGCAGCTGCGACCGTCCGTGCGGGTCGTTCCTCCGCCCATGCTCGAGCGTCAGAGGGGTCTCTGACACATCCGTACGTTCGGGGACCTGGGGAGGCGGCAAGGGGCAACCAGCAACAAAGGGCAGCGAAACTAACAACGATACTAGGCACAGACAGATGCGTCAAAGAAGAGAGATGAAATAGGGAAGAATGGCACAGAGGCGGAAGATAATTCGCTGGCCCAGAGCGCTGACGGCGTGCTCGAGCCCAGTCATCTGGGCGTCAGCTCCAGGGTTTGTGACTTCTCGTGAAGTGTTCTGACGTTGCAGTTGCATTTTTGTGCCAGGGTCCCGTGCCTCATCCCGTAATCTTCGCCCTCCTTCTTCCCCCACCTCCCTTTCCACCGAAAACCATCCACCCCTGCCCCATGCGTCAACGCATCCCACCACGGCGCGCTCACGCCCTGGCACCCCTTCCTCACCCGAAACCGAGGAAGATCGCACGACCCCGCGCACGGGGCCCACGGCACCACTCCTGCGCGCAAGGTACAAGTAGCCTGGCGAGGAGAAGGAGAGGAAGGAGGAGAAGGAGGAGGAGGAGGAGAAGGAGGAGAAGGAGAAGGAGGTGGAGGAGGAGGTGGAGCAGCCTTCGGCCTCGAAGGTTCTGCCGTGCCGTCTTCGTCTGGCCTGGGCCAGCGACTGGACGGCACTGTGGGCCGCGACCGCGCGCCCTGGGGAGCCGGCTGAAGACCGCGCGGGCCAGCGTAAACCACAAAAAGTGGCCCAACGAGTGCATGAACGCATCATGCTTGGAGAAGTAGGCCGCGGTGCTGCAACGGTCGCAGGGCCGGCAAGCTGGCGCCAGGGCCTCGCGAACTGGCCGCCCTCTTCCTGGAGGCGGCGTCCGCTGCCCGCCCGCCGCCGCGGCCCGCGGCGCTGTCCGTCGGGCCGTGGGAGGCCAAGGCGGCCGAAAGCAGCGGGCAGCCTCGGAAAGTACCCACACCACTCGGGCCCCGGCCTCTCTAGCGCCCGGTTCGAACACTGGGCGACCCTGCGCGGACACAGCGAGGGGAAGCAGGCGTTCACGCAGGTGCTCGTTCTCATCCTCAAGGACCGTGTGCTGGAGCACGCCATGCAGGCCATCCTCGCTGGGCGGTTGCTGCCGCAGGTGAAGCTGGGAGTCGGCGTGCGACCGCTTGCCTGCGGAGAGACGCTACACCAGATGGCGGCCAAGGCGGCCACGACAGCGCACAATGGAGCCATCGCTGCAGCGGTGGGTCGCCACCAGTCTGGCGTGGCGACCGCGCTGGAGGAGGACCCTGGCGCCGCGGTGCTCTCCCTGGACGTGGCCAACATTTTCAACGAGCTCAGCCGGGACACCCTGCTGCGGGAGGTCGTTGGCCGCCTGCTGGAGCTCATGCGGCTGGCGAAGACCTGGCACGGCGAGGCCATCACTCACGGAGCTCGCCTTCCTGGGGCCAAGCCGGCGCCGGTCAGGGCAGAGCGCAGGTGGACCAGGGTTGCCCCCCTCCCCAGCGTTTTTCGCGCTAGCGGTGGCGACTCTCTGCGAGGACCTGGAGGCGGCGGCGCGCCGCGAGAACCCCGGTGCCAGGGTGGTGGCCTACGTCGACGACGTGTACGTCGTGGGCAGCCCGCGCGCGCTGGCCGCTGCGCTCCTCGAGGCGACGGCGTTCCTTTCGGCGCGGGGCCTCCACTTGAGCGCGCAGAATACCAAGGTCTGGAACCCGCACGCCCTGCCGTTCCCTGGGCCGCTGGCCAGGGTGGAGGTGCCCGACCATCAAGACGTGGGAAGCACGCTATAACACGTGCGCAACGCAAGGGGAGCAAACCAGGGCGCCGACCCCGCGAGGGCGAGCTTCTCGCCGACGACCACCCCGCAGGCGGCCCAAGACCACCTCGACGCCTACCTCGCGGCCTTCCGCCGGCTCCGAGGACACGGGCTGCGCGCCCAGGACGAGTTCGTCCTGCTATCCACTTTCGCCAACGGCGCGGCCCTGCAACACGCGCGGGCGCACCTGCTGGACGAGGCGTGGCGCAAGGCGTACGAAACTTCGGTCCTCGGCCACGTGCACGAGATCCTGCGGCCGTTCACAAGGCACCAACCCCTGCTGGACGACGCGTGCGGCCTGGCCCTCCTGCCCGGCGCCGGTGGCGGGCTCGGGCAGTAGGGCCTAACGCACCGCCGCCTGCCCGCCTCCGCGGGGGCCTGGCAGGCGTGCACGGCGGACGTCTGCAGCGAGCTTGGACTCCCCAGCCTCGAGGCTTTCCAGCACGCTTGCCCGACGGCGTGGGGGGTGGCCGAGGGCGCGGGCCGCGCTCGCAGCACGCGCGCCGGCAGCGGCTCCTGGGCGCCGTGCCACCGGACCAGGCAACGCAGCTACGCTCGGTCAGCGGGAAGGGCGCGGGGAGCTGGCTACTGCCGCGCACTGAAGAGGACCACGTTCTGGCGGACGCGCACTTCCTCCCAGCGCTGCGACTCCAGCTGCCCCTGCCCGTGGACGCTAGCGCCACGTGCCTCCGGCGCAGGGAGGATGGCACGCGCTGCAGAGCCGACCTGGCCGCCGCGCCGGGGCACTGACTGGGCTGCCGTGTCCGCGGCGGCACGATCCAGCGCCACGACGGCGTCCGAGACTGGCTCGCTGGCTGGCTCGGAGACCGCGGCGCGACATGCGTGGACACGGAGCAGTACGTGCCCACTGGGACCGAGTACGCCAGGACGGCCCCATAGAGGTCGCCCGCCTCGACGTGGCCTTCACGGACCGCACGTCGGCGTCGTCTACGTCGACGCAATGGTCACGTACGCCGCCCTCGGCACGGGCACGCCTGCAGGCCAGGGCCGCGCGGTCCGCGACGGCGCTGCCGTGGCGGCTTGCGAGGAGCGCAACCACGCGCGCTACCATGGCCCAGCTCTCAATCAGGGCCTTCGCGCTGGAGGCCCTGGGGCGCGGTGGGCGGGAGGCACACGCGCTCCTCTGCATTTGGGCCCGCGGGGGGGCCGCCGTGCTCGCGGCGGCGCGCCAGAGCCTGGCGGCGACGCCACAACGCGGCAACGCGGGGTCTTCTGCTCCGCGTGTTTTGCCGCGCGCGTGGCGGCGCGCCGCGGGCCGGCGGCGGCGAGCCGGCGGCCCGCCGCCCGCCGCCCGCGCGCTAGCTTGGCGCGCGCCCGCGGAGCCGCGCGGGCGCTGAGCAGGGCGGGTCGCTAGTCGGGGCAGGGCAGGGCGCTGGAGGAGGCCCGCGGGGACACCGGGCGGGTGCGGGCGGCGCTGGCGCAAGCGGCCGGGCAGCGGCGGCGGCGCTGGCGGCACTGGCGCCAGGGGGGGCGCTGCGCGGCGTCGCCAACTGAAGCGCGGCCACGACTCGGGGGGCTGGGACAGGCCAGGCCGGCGACGTCGGCGGCAGCGGCGACGGCGGCGGCGCGCGCCTGCTGGGGCGCTCGGCTGGCGCTGAGGGGCGCGGGGGGCACCTGCGGCGCGCGCGGCAGCGGGGCGCCAGGCGGCCAACTGGCGCGCGGCCGCGGCGCACGCGGACCGCAGCAGCCGGCTCCGAGGCGCCGCTGGGGGCTGCCACGGCAGCGGCTTTCTGGGCTGCCACGGCGAAGGCGCAAGCGGCGACGCGCTGGGCGGCGCGGCGGCCCCCGGCGCGGCGGGCGCAGCGGTGTCGGCCCGGCGGCGGCGCTGGCGACCAGCGGCGGCAGGGCGGCGCGCGGGCGGGTAGGCGCGCGCAGCGGCCGTGCGTGCGGGCGCTCGCCGAAACCCCGGGGCTCCCCGCGGACTCGGGAGCCCTGGGGCAGGAGGAGGGGGAGGAGCAGCAGGAGGAGGACTAGGAGGAGGAGAAGGAGGAGGAGGAGGAGAAGGAAGAGAAAGAGAAGGAGGAGGAGGAGAAGGAGAAGGAGGAGGAGGAGGAGGAGGAGGAGGAGGAGGAGGAAGGAGACGCGCGGCGCTGCGGATTCAAAACTAAGACCTAGGACGCAGGACGGCTGGGAATAACAAATTTCTGGCCAGCGGCGCAACTACATAGTTTTTCGGCGGCGCGCTCAGGGGGGAAGGCATAAGGAGCGGGCTATCTCAGAAGGCTCGGAAAGCCTCCGCCCCCGCCGCCTTCTGAGAAGGCCCGCCACCTTTGCCGGCAATCCCGGGCGCGCCGTCGAGCTCTGTGACCGAGCAAAACAGCCAAGAGGCGCTGGGGCGGCCGCGGGCGGGGGACGACAGCAAGGGAGGCGCCGTCAGAGCAGGTGGTCCTACAGGCGTCTGCGACGACAGGCCCCGAAGAAGTCGTGGAAGGGGGCCCTGACAAAGACACGTACGGCATTTGGCGGTGGCTCTCGAAGAGGAGACCTGACGTCCAGAGATGCGATGTTGTCGATCGGCGGCCTCAGAGCTCTTGGCCCCGTCCCCGGGAAGTTATTTTTCGAGCCAGCTCCATTTGCCAAGGTCCAGGGGTCCGATACAGGGGCCCCAGGAGGAGGAGGAGGAGGAGGAGGAGGAGGAGGAGGAGGAAGACGAGGAAGAGGAGGCGGAGGAGGCGGAGGAGGCGGAGGAGGAGGAGGAGGCGGAGGAGGCGGAGGAGGAGGAGGCAGAGGCGGACGAGGAGGAGAGCCGAAATTGAGGAACAACACCCAGATGGAGAGAGCACACAAAAAAGAGCGAAAACAAAAAAACAAACGGAGAGCTGGGAGTGCAGCGTGTGCCCGCGTGGCCGCCGAAGTGGCCGCCGTGGCCACCCCTCGCCAACCAGCGGAGCGCGGGCGCGCCCACGGCACGGTCCCCGAGGGCGCCAGGCTCCCCCCCCCCTCGGCGGCGAGCGAGGGGGGGAAGTGAGAAGGGGAAGACCTTCTCAGAATGCGGCGGGGCTCCTCAGGAGGCCTCCGGCCTTCTGAGAGGCTTTTGTTGCGTCTTCGGGGTAGGCTCTGAAACTTCTCAGCAGGCCTCTGGCCTTCTGAGAAGTTGTTTTGAGTCTTCGATGAAGGCTTAGAAAACTTCTCTAAAGGCCGCAGACCTTCCGAGCCTTCTGAAAAGGGCCGCCCCTTCTCGTCTCCCCCCCTCGCTCGATGCCAACACCCCCATTCTGGGGTCGGAGCCGCCGCGGCGCCCGACCCCCCCCCGCGGCCGCGAGGGCCGGCCCGAGGCCCCCCTTATCTGCACCGCCGCGACAGTCGCGAGCGGCACATGTGGCTCTGTCCAACGGGTGGGAAGGATTTTTTCCAGACGACAAGATACCAATGTCACAGACTGCGCGCCATCTTCCTCAAAAAAAAGCGTATGTTTGAGGTGATCCAACTGCGCTGGGGAAAGCACTGAGCGGATTCTTCTTCCTACGCACTGGGCAAATCACGGGTGCTCCATCAGGAAGGAGGGAGCGCAACAACCAGACAACTCACCCGTATGACGCGGGGAACGGAATGGGGGTAGGAATCATGATCGCTGCAAGAGCTGTCAGGAGCGGCGAACCTGACTATGTGCACGCACTCGCGGTCTGGGCTCTGGGGCGCGATCCGGTGGATACGCGATCGCATGAATGCGCTCGGCGCGGGGCATCCGCGCACAAACGCCGTGTCCATGAGGTAGCGGCCCATGGGGCACGGCCCGCGAGGGCATCGATATGGAAATGTTGCTCGCCCACGCGGCAGCGAGCCTGGCGCCAGAAGCAGCCAGCACCAGATCGGTCGGATCGGATCGGAACGTGCGCCGGGACAGGCCGCATCGTCGTGGACCCGAGATCGAAACGGATCGGCCGCGCCGGGATGCACAGCAGCGCCGTGCAGGCATCGGGCCGCATCGGCTGGTCTGAATGCCGCGATCGAGTCGCATTGGGCCAGCCGGAATAGATATCGAATCGGGTGATCGGATCGAATGGATCGTTCCCCGTCGCTCCTGATCCTCCTCCTCATCCTCCTCCTCCTCCTCCTCCTCCTCCTCCTCCTCCTCCTCCTCCTCCTCCTCCTCCTCCTCCTACACGCAAGAATGACCCCGGGCAAGAGTGACCTCCAGTGCGCGGCTTCGGGGTGGAGGGCGCGAGAGGGGGCCCAAAAATCAGGCGCGCCAGCCGCTGCTACATCGCACATGGTGCAGAGTTCGGGGGACCCCACTGGGCCCGCACCGAAGGGGCACTCCAGCGAAAGGTCACTCTTAGGTCGGGCATGTCCCCCTACGGGCCGATCGTGGACGAAAAATAAAAAGTACTCAAAACAAAAATCATTGAAAATAAGTTCAAACAACGATGACTTATGTTTTTATTGATAAATGTGTAAAATATACATTATATCGATGTAAAACAGAAAAACTACCAAGACTATTTTTGACTATGTTTGAATATTCCCCCTGTAGAGGGACACGCCCGACTTAAGGTCACCCTTGCGGCTGGTCGATCCTCAGCCGTCGGAGAGGGGCACCGACCAGCCCAGCTCCGCAGGAGCGGACCCAGCTAGCCGGCCCTGGCTCGCCCTCACCGTCCTCTGGCAGCCACATGCTCCCTCTCCCGCGCCCCCGCCTTTTCTAGACAAGCTCGTTCCACGGCTCGCCAAGTGACGACCCGCAAGCGGCCTGGATCCGCCGCAAGGGGGCTCTACGACCCATCACCTAGAGGCAGACATGCTTTTGCTCCGACGCCTGCGAGGAGGCACCTGGCGGAATAGTAGAACGCGCTCGGCGACTCTCCCTGGCCTCCCTTGCCCGCCCCCTCCCCTGGGCCTCCCCCCTGAGCCCCCCCCCGCCTTCTCCCGCTCGTCGCCGCACCAGCCCCTGGCCCGGGCCTCCACCCTCCAGGGCGGCCTCGGCAGGAGCGCCGAGTAAAACGGTGGCCCCAGTGCTCCGTCTGGGACCCCCCGCGGGCGGAGCAGCTGCGCGAGAGACGAGTGCATAGAAGTCGCCAGTCCTCGTCGTCGTCCTCGTCCTCGTCCTCGTCCACATCCTCGTCGCTCGTCGTCGCCCTCGTCCTCGTCCTCGTCCTCGTCCTCCTCGTCGTCGTCGCCGTGGTCGTCGTCGTCGCGGTCGCCGTCTACCAGAAGGAACGCTGGAGGGGAAAAAGAAACCCCCGTTTGGCCCCCACCGCACCCGGGTGCCCGAGGAGCGCTGGCTGGGCCGCCCTGGAAGGACCCGGGGAGGCCTCCCTCCGGAGCCGAACAGCTCCCTGCTTCCAGCGCCTCGACGGCACGGCCGCATGCGGACTCGAGCAGCGGCAACGAGGCGATGCTGGGAGGCCGCTGCAGCCGCCACGGCAGGGTGCCCTGGACGCAGAGGCGGCATGCGGCACGGCCTCCGGCACCACGGTCACCGCCGCGGGCAGGTAGGCCTGCTGGTACGGGACGTCGTCAACGTAAGAGAACGCTTCTTCCTGCAGACGGTCTCTCTGCTTTGTTTTGTTTATTTATCTCTCTCTCTCTATCCCTCTATTTCTGTCTCTCTCTTTTTCTCTCTCTCTCTCTCTCTCTTTCTCTGTCTTTCTCTCTCTCTCTCTCTTTCGCAGGCTCAGGCTGGCCCACCACTCCCTCCACTGTTTCGCCTCCTCCAGACCCACCATCTTCTTCCCGCATCACGAACCAAGTGAACAGAGATCGTAGCTCAGATCCGCAACCCCAACCGAAAGGGCCTCCAGACCCACCGTTCCCACTCACGCCCAGCCTCCAAAGGGGCACACGCTTTCCATTACATTGTTTCACTTTTTAATTCCATCTATTGGACAGTTCCGAATGAGCTCCTCATCCTCCCCCACGGCTTCAACAGCCCCTCTCACCATGCCCTCATCAAATTCACCAGCCAATCACCCTCATCGTAAACATCCCCGTCATCACCACCATCATCGTCGCCACCACCACCATACACACCGCTTGGCGCCCGCAATCACGCAACGCTTTATCATCTCCCCACATCCGCGCACGGCAGCGGATAGTTTGACCGATCATACCAAGATGAGAAGGGATGAAGAGAAAGAGGTGGGGGATAAAGAGAGGCACAGGGAACGCGGTGAAAGGATTGTGTCAATGGCACATCCGGAGCTCACCGTCTTGAACTACCGCAACGTCGCTAAAGGTTTTATTACAGGTATGATCTTTCCCTCTTTCACATCTGCCTCGTCCTCGCTGGCCTGCTTTCCCCTTGGCAAAAAGAAAGTTCCTGGCCCCAGCTGCACATGCTGCATGTGAACCAAAAAAACCATGTGGCTGATAAAGGTAGCCCCCTGCCTGGGACCATCCTCCGAAATAAAGATGAATACGCAGCCTCGCAAGGCCGGAAAGGATCAAGAGGAGGACTGCACGCAGCAGCACAGCTACATGACCGTGGAATTGGAAGAACGGGCACCAGAGAAGATGGCAGCAGAGTGCAAAAACCAAGACACTCAGTCATGAAGTCATGGCGGAAGACAAATTTGCATCTTGCTGCAGCACGCTCGTCATGCAAACCAGTAGCAAATGTCGAGCATGAGGAAGAGCGCATAGTCGTACAGAGGACGGAGAAATAGACAGATGGCTCGCCTCACATCTACGGGCCACTCGTGATCATAATAATTACAATGTATGAAACTGCAGGCTTGGCGCAAACGATATGTTTGCTTGAGCCCGCGCTTGATCGGGCAGATACCAATATTCAGTAACAGATGCAGCGGGCCAACACGTCATGCGACGGGGAATGACCAAGGGCGATGCTCCACCCCAACAGCAAGCTTATGAGCACAACTACAGAGAGAGCTCTTCCCACTGACCAACCATGCACGCACACCAATTCGATACGACACATTCTGCGACTAGCAGCTTTCCAGACTTACAATTGCAGGCGCCACGATCATAAGAAAGAGCTTCCCGCCGCACGCGTCAGCGACATGGTTACGCAAACGAAGCCCCCATGGCTCCCCTGCAAGGGCCATGCAGGGGAGATCGCTTCCTCAGCTGTGGCTCGTGCGCACCTGCAGGCGCTCACAGCCGCTGAGACACGCTCGCTGGCGCCCACAGGCAGCCGCTGACAGTGGGATCCGGGCGCTCACACACGGCCACAGGCGACCACATGCACAGGCGGTCGCGAGCGCTCACATGCACCCACGCCCGCGCACAAGCGCCCGCACAGGCCCAGACAAGCGCCAGCAGGCGCTCACAAGTGCTTTCAAGCGCTGCCAAACGCTCAAAGGAGCCTGCGGGTGCTCGCGGGCGTCCGCAAACGCTCACTGGTGTTCACAGGATATCCACAAGCACGCGAACGTGCCCGTCAGCGCTACACTGGCGTTGACAAGCGTCCACAGGCGTTCCACAGCGCAGAGAAGCGTCGGCAAAGGCCAAAAACAGCGCACAAGCTCTCGCAGGGTGCGTTCGTTCCCTCGCGATGTGTCTAAGGGCTTGCTGGTGACGCGGCTCAACGCTGTCGATGCTCCAGTAATCTAAACTCAGGAGCGCCCTGAGGGGTGTAATTTCACGACTCTTGTTTGTTGACGCTCCAGGGGTCTCCTCTGCGACGCCCCAACCCAGGGGACACAACAGTACACATTCCTGCAAATTGTTGAGACCGCACCTGGTGCATGCGCAACTACATTTCGCGAGGATGAGACTGTCCGCAAGCCTCAAAGCAGAACGCTATGGGGATACAGCCTCATGGTCCTGGAAAAAATGACTGGGAACCTTGTTCAAGGTGCCCATAGACACGACTCACAAATTTGATTGAAGCCCTGCCCCCGCGCCGCTCGAAGCTCTGAAGGCGCTCCAAGGGCCTCGGGTCCCAGGCGCTCCAGATACACCCCAGCACGTTTCGGAAGATCTGGAAGCCATTGCGGCCCCCTGCAGGCCCATTTTCTACATGGTCTGGGTGAATCCAATGTGGCTCTTTCATGCTCCTAGGATGCCCAGGTTCACGCACGCGCAACGCTCCAGGAACGGAGGGTTTCCGATGGGGGGGCTGGGGGATCGGCCCCACAGACTTACCAAGCCCTGGGGTTTGTTGGAGTGGGAGTAACGCATATCACATCCAATCTGAACCCTCAACGAACTACTTGGGGCGGACTCCAACCACCGAACAGGGGCCGATCGCAACGCGAGGGACTCCTAACAAAAATTCTACAAGACGGATAACCAGACTACAACCGGAGCACAACCTCTGCAGAGCCTCTGAAGCGCTTCCCATGACGTCTGATGAGCTTAAAGGAAGCGTCCGAGCAGCTTCTGAGGAGCTTCCGAGCCGTTTCTGAGGAGCCTCTGAGGAGGAGGAGGGACACGATGGGAACGCGGGGGGGGGAGAAGGGCGAGGAAGAGGAGGACTTCCTTTTACTACTATTGTTAATACTGGGTAACACCACTAGCACTAGAAATACTACTACTACTACTACTACTACTACTACTACTACTACGACGACGACGACGAATACTACTACTACTACTACTACTACTACTACTACTACTACTACTACTACTACTACTACGGATAAATATAGGAGATAAGGGTGCAACTGCTACAACGACGACTACGTCTACTAGGACGACGACGACGACGACGACGACGACGACGACGACGACGACTACTACTACTACTACTACTACTACTTCTACTACTACTACTACTACTACTACGACTACTACTGCTACTACGACGACGACGACTACTACTACTACTACTACTACTACTACTACCAATCATAATAAAAATACTAATAATAAGAATAATGCGAATATTACTACTACTACTACTACTACTACTACTACGACTACTACTACTACTACTACTACTACTACTACCACTACTACTACTATTACTGCTACTACTACACTACTACTACTACTAGTACTACTACTACTACTACTACTACTACTACTGCTACTACTACTACTACCACTACTACTACTACTGCTACTACTACTACTACTACTACTACTACTACTACTACTTGAAATACTACTACTACTACTACTACTACTACTACTGCTACTGCTGCTGCTACCACTACCACTACCACGACTGCTGCTGCGACTACTACTGCTATTACTACTACTGCTGCTACTACTACGTACCTACCTACCGACCTACCAACCTACATGCCAACCTGCCGACCCACCCACCGACCTCCCCACCGACCTACTATGACTACAACTACTACTACTACTACTACTACTACTACTACTACTACTACTACTACTACTACTACTACTACTACTACTACTACTACTACTACTACTAACTACTACTACTTACTACTACTACTACTACTACTACTACTACTACTACTACTACTACTACTACTACTACTACTACTACTACTACTAATACTACTACTACTACTACTACTACTAAGTAACACGACCAACTACTACTACGAGTACTACTATTACAACAAACAATACTAATACTACAACGACACTACTACTCTACTACTACGACTACTACTACTACTACTACTACTACTACTACTACTACTACTGCTACTACTACTACTACTACTACTACTACTACTACGACTATTACTACAACTACTCCTGCGACTGCTGCGAAGATGGGTACTACTACTACTACTACTACTACTACTACTACTACTACTACTACTACTACTACTACTCCGACTACTACTACTACTACTACTACTACTCCTACTACTACTACTACTACTACTACTACTACTACTACTACTACTACTACTACTACTACTACTACTACTACTACTACTACTAGGGCTGACCGGGGGATGGTGGCCGGGCAGTTCCTCCGTGAGACGACTTAAGGGTGGTGATGGAGGTTTCGCGCTTCCAACGGGTTTAACAAAACATGAGATTGTGGGTGTGGATGTGGGTGTGGGTGTGGGTGTTTCATGTATGTATGGTGATGTATGCTGATGTATGGTGATGTATGATGATGTATGATGATGTATGATGATGTATGATGACGTATGATGATGTAAGATGATGTATGATTTTGTCTGGTGGTGTACGATGGTGTATGATGGTGTATGATGGTGTATGATGATTAGTGTATGGTGTTTGATTATGTAAGATGTATTGTGCTTAACAATGTATAATGTTTGATGACTGATGTTTGGTATAGAATGATGTTTGATGTTTGATGTTTGATGTTTTATGTTAAATGATGCTGAATGATGTTTGGTGTTTGATATATGGTGTTTGATGCTGTGTGGTGTTTGCTGTATCATGTTTGATGTTTGATGCTTGATGATGTTTGATGTATGTTTGATGATGTTTGATATTTGATGTTTGTTGATGGTTGATGTTTGATGGTTGGTTTTTGTTGATGTTTGATAATGGTTGGTGTTTTATGTTCAACGATGGTTGCTGTTTGATGTGCAATGTTTGATGTTTGATGGTTGATGAGATATGATGTTTGATGCATGATGGTGTTTGATGTTTGATGATGTATGATGTTTGCTGTTTGATGAATGATGTTTGATGATGTATGATGTTTGCTGTGTGTTGTATGATGTTTGGTGATGTGAGATGTATTACGATGCATGAGATTTGATGGTGTATGATAATGATTGGTGTGCTGTGTTTGATGGCCTAGTATGATGTATGGTGTTTGATGATGTATTATGGTGTGTTGTGTTTGGTGCGTATAATGATGTATGGTGTATGGTGCACGATAATGTATGATGGTGTATTATGATGTATGGTGTGTGGTGGTGTATTATGATGTATGATGTGTGATGTTTGATGATGTGTGATGATGTAAGATGTATGATGTTTGATGATGTGTGATGTTTGATGACGTATGATGTTTGGTGGCGTATGATCATCAACATCATCATCTTCATCATTATCATCATCGTCATCATTGCCATCATCAACATCACCATCATCATCGTCGGTGTAAATGGTCGTCGTCGTCATCGCCCACCGCCACCATCACCTTCATCATCCACATCATCACCATGATCATCATCCACATCATCACCACCACTGCCACCGCCACCATCATCGTCATCATCACCAGCGGCAACATCGGCATCACAGTCCTCATCATCATCAGCACCACCATCAGCATCAGCATCACCACCAGCATGTTCATCATCATCATGAACAGCATCACCACCATCATCATCGTCGTCGTCATCGTCGTCCTCGTCATCGTCATCGTCATCATCACCATCCTCAGCACGATCATCCTCATCATCATACTCACCATCAGCATCAGAAGCATCATCAGCATCAGCAGCAGCAGCATCAGCATCAGCATCAGCATCATCATCATCATCACGCCCTCGTCCCGTTCGACCGCCTCAATCATAACCGTCGCGCCCTCGTCGTCAGGCCCCCAGGAGGCTTCCCAGGAGGCCCTAGAGGCCTGTCAGGAGGCCCAAGAGGCCTCCCAGGAGACCCCAAAGGCCTCCCAGGAGGCCTAAAAGGCCTCTCAGGAGGCCAAAGAGGCCCCTCAGGAGGCCCAAGGGGCCTCTCGGGAGGCTCAAGCAACCTCACAGGAGGCCCAAGAGGCCTCTGAGGAGGCCCCAGAAGCTTCTCAGGAGGCCCCAGAAGCCTTTCAGGAGGCCCAGGAGGCTTCTCTGGAGGCCCAAGAGGCCTCTCAGGAAGCCTAAGAGGCTTCTCAGGAGGCCAAAGAGGCCTCCGAGGCGGCCCAAGAGGCCTCACAGGAG